ATATATAAAAGTATTTTGTTTAAATTTATATGGCACATACCTAGAAGATGAAAAAAAATGAATGAAGACGAGGCCACCTCTGTCTGAATGTGGTTTTTTTAAATAGTGCAAATACAATAAGTGTTGAGTCTTCTTCCAGGGTAGGTTTGGATTTTGTCTTTCCACCGCCCCCCCGATTCTTTTTTTTCCAATGCTCACCTGGTCTTTTGCAATTCCTACCAGCCAACCAGTAGCATTCAAAGCAGTGTCTTCTTCTGTTATTGCTGAGGTGGTTGTGGTGTTTTTAATGTGAAACGGCTACTTGAGGTGTCAAATTTTGGGGTGCTTCTTTGGAGTGATGTCTGTCATTCTTGTATCCTGGGGGGGAGAAATTGTCGTGGTGTTAACAGAAGTGGCTTTCTTTTTCAAGTTTAGCAACAGCGGCTGCACTCTGCCAAAGGCCACCAAATATTACTGCTGTTTTAAAACGATGTGTATACAGTGGACCCTCTACTTACGGAATTAATCCGTATTGGAATGGTGGCTGCAGGTCGAAAAGTCTGTAGGTTGAGTCTCCGTTGACCTACAATGCATTGAAAACCAATTAATCCCGTAACCGGCCGTTTTTGTTCCATTTTTGTTGCGTTTTTTTTCTGGTCTGTAGGTCAATTCTCCAGCTGCAAGTCGAACCTAAATTTTATGGCCAGAGAATTCTGTAACTCGAAAAGTTTGTAAGTCGAGCCTTCTGTAAGTCAACGGTCCACTGTAACTGGTTACTCAGCCAAGCCCACAAGACCTCCTTCATGGGTAATTTTCTTCTTTCTGCACTACCGGAGGATGATGGTACAAAAGGAACGGCACCGATTGTGTGTTGCTGGTGATAATACGATGATCGGTACGTGTGTGAGAACAGCTGGCCAAAAATGAACTTAAGTGGGGCTCATCTGGGTCAATAAATGTTTTGGAGAGAGAGTTTGGTGGGCTCTGGAGATAGAGAGAGACTGTGCTTTGAGGCTGTTGTATTTCCCCAGAGTCGGTAAAGTTACCATGATACAGGCATTCATTTACCAGGATGAATTCCACTGTTATCTCCCATTATTTACATTTTGTTGTACAGTGGTGCCTCGCTAGACAGTTACCCCGCATGATACTTTTTTCACTAGACATTGGCTTTTTGCGATCGCTATAGCGATTCGCAAAACAGAGATTCCTATGGGGCAATTTCGCTGGACAATGTTTGGTCCCTGCTTCGCAAACTGATTTTCACTAGACAACTATTTTGACAGCTCCCTCTGCGCTCGCAAAACAGATGTTTTCGGGACCTAAGCTTCGCAAGACAGCGATTTAAACAGCTGATCGGTGGTTCGCAAAGCGGCTTTCCGATGGCCGATCTTTGCTAGACAACGACGATTCTTCCCCATTGGAACGCATTACACAGGTTTCAATGCATTCCAATGGGGAAATGCTTTTCGCTAGACAATGATTCCGCTAAACAGTGATTTCAGTGGAACGGATTATCACATCTAGCGAGGCACTGCTGTACTGGGAAAACCCACCAAAATAACTTGGCCAGAGGACAAGAAAGAACTGTTTACGAATTAGGTGGTATTTTAGAATCCTCAGGTCTTCTGACTTTTCTCCACCTTGAGACATTTTTCCCACCTCTCTCTCTCTCTCTCCATCCCTACTTCTCCCCATGCGAAACAGCACATATTATTCAGATGCAGGAAGGGTTTCCTGGCAGATGGACCCAGTGCCATTGGATCTGCTTTCCAAAGAGGTATAGGAAGTGACTGTCTTCACGGCTCGCACCGTGCCCCACAGCCTTGGCCACCAACGGTATCATTTCCCTGAAATTCTCATAATGTTGGTGGTTTAAAAAAATAATAATCATTTGAGCCAAGGTAATCATACACAGTCTGCTGGACAGCTGCATGTGTAAGACTCAAGACCTTTTGAGTCTCTCTCTCTTTCTTCCACGATGCACTTTTAGCTGAGCTTGGAAAGGTGGCTTTTCCGGTCCAACCAACTGGCTGGGAGATTCTGGAAGGTGTAGTCCAGAAAACTCACATTTCCAAGCTTTGGCGTAGTTGTTGAACAACCAGGAGATTTTGATTCCAGCTCTTTATGCTTTGTTCTCTTTCTTTTTTTTTCTTTCAGTTCAGTTTTTTTCTTAAAATTATGCTGATAATAAAAGATAGAGGGGTTTAGTGTTTTCTTTTTCTCTTTGAAAGCCTAATTTGTTGTTGTTGTTGTTTTAAATAATAATAATAATATGGACTGGGAAATAGTAGCTCAATTTAATGCCTTATTTTCTTGTGCTTACTTGATCCCCTGATAATGTTAGCAAAGATTTGGGGGACTCATGGCCCCCTTCGCTTACAAAGATCACTCCCCTTTGGGGGTGTTGTGGTGCAGCTTCAAAAAAAAGCAGGGTGGGAAGCGCCTGTAAATATTGGAATGTCTTAACCTGCCCTGGGGGCAGGTGGAGGGGGGACACCTCCTCCCCGAAGCCAAGGATGTTTACTCTCGGTGGGCTGGATCAGAAGATGATGCCCCAAATCTGAGTCAGTGGAGAAATGGTGACGGAGAGTGCTGAACCAGGGATTAAAACACCTTTTCTGAAAAATCCGCCTTTCAAAATCAGAATCTGGAAATCACCGCAGAGATGTTAAAATGTTCGTTCTTTCTCTGCAAGAGTGCTTGACAGTTTGGTAAACACCGGTCCCTGTATATTCAGCACCTTTCACATCGTGGCCAAAGGAACGTGGCAAACCAACTTTTTTTGCTGGTGGCAAAAGGCTTGTGGGGTGTTGTTTTTCTCGGGGTGGTGATGGTGGAGGAGACCAGCCTTGTTCCTACCCTTGCGAGAGAAGAGGCAGGCGTG